GGTTTTGTGACATGCAATATGCAACAAACAGGTACGGCGGCCTGGACGCAAAGAGAGCAGCTCCACAACATTTACACATGTTCTTCTCATTTCCGCTGAACTAGAAGCTGAGAGCGAGGTTGCTGCCCTGCACAGCTGCATGAGAAACACTGAGGCAGAGAAGCTGGACTTTGACAAAGGGGAGTTATTTCTGGGATTCCCATAAATCTGTGGCAGCCGCTGTCGTACTGGACGCTACGTTAGTTTTTTATGCAGTACAAGGTTTTCTCTGTTTTCTTGCTGAGCGCTGTCGTAGCAAACAGGGCAAACGAATGACCTCAACTTAACGGTTATTGTCAAGAGAGACGTCTCCTGTGCTTAATAAAGCTGCTTCCAGACATGCGCCGAGCTCTGGAGGTAATGTATGTGAGAGTGTGACTCTTCGAGTGAGAGGCTCCGGACATTCTCTGGAGTTTCTCTCCCCGGTAAAATCTCCGGAGAATGTCCGGAACCTCTTAAAATTGTGGTGTGAAGTGAAAATTCACGTCAAGATCGGACCCCTGCTACATACTGAACCACTACACGCTACATACAACGCACACACGTGATGGTGTTGATCTCTAATATGTGACCAGTGTGAGTCAGAAGCGGTTTGGAGGTTTGGAAGCCGGATTTTCAAAATAAAAGCCGTAGACTGCAGCAGCTAGGAGAGCACGGAGGGGGAGGTTGGACATTCACAATAAAAGCACGTCAAAATAAATACAGATTAAATAAATACAGATTAGCAGCCACCAACACAAATAAATCCTGAAGCCAGAAATCACTTTCTCCAGAAATGTAATACCAACATACGAGATGTCAGTGGTTGGATTTCACTTCTGATCGAGGAAGAAAATAAACATTGTAGTTCTCCAAAGGCGAATTATTCATTTGACACAAAGACAATCGACTCGGCTCGGAGGCGTGTGACTCTACACTCTGCACACAGAGTCCAAAAACAACTGGTCGTCTGAGTAGAAAAGGTGTGAATACAGTTCTAGTGTGTGGAGACCGCGTGTGATTTTTAACTGTTAGCAAAAGGTGAGAATGAAGGATTGAGGTGTGATGTCAGCAGCGTGTGGGGGCATCGACTAACACCCCAGAATGCAACAGGTTTCAGGCAACATTCACACTACTAGTTTTTTTTTTTCTGAAAACACAAACTCTGCCAGAAAGAAACCGAGAGGTTTGGAAACGATGAGGTAAACACTCACGCTCTGGCTGATTGGGTCGTTCTTCTGTCGTAGCCTTCGTTGATTGGTCGGGCTCCCGTCACATGACGTCCGTCTGGAGGAAAACAAACGGTGGTCGGTGTAGAACACGACACAGATAATCAAATACAAGCGTTTCTGACCCTGTCGTCTTTGCTAACACCCGGAGGAGACGCATGTCCAGTGGAGAGGTCACATGACGTGTGTTCTCAGGCGTGTTAGAATGAAACGTCACTGTCATACTGAAACATAAATATGGATGAAGCCTGAGTGTGATGAAATGATTTGAAAGAGAGGTGTTTGGACGTTTATATGGATTTATATTCCCAAACATTATCATCACACCTCATCCGTCACTGACAAACAGCCGCCAGACGAAAACAAGGACAACACAAACAAGAGTCGATCTACAGGCGGCTAACGGCAGCAGCAGAGCCACTGACTTCCTTTCTGTCGCCACATTAACGTCACAGGAAAATAAAAAAAAAATCACCCTGAGCCAGAGGGGAGTGTTGGACTGAACATACACAGAGACCCTCCCTCCCCCACTCCCCCGACTGGGTGGGTCCAGACTGGTCTCGGTGTTGCTCGCGGCCTGAGGGGGAAGGAGCAGTGACGGAGCAGATCCTTACAGGGGCAGGGGGGGGGGGGGGGGAGAAGAGTCCTGCTGTCATGTCTTTGTGTGTTAACTAATCAGAGGCTGCACACTGAGAACTTGTCACTGTGTCACTGCGGGGGGGGGACAGAGAGAAGAGCAGTCCGACCTGGGGTGTCGCTTGGGTGGGCGTCAGGGAGGAGAGGGAGGACGGAGCGCGATGAGTCAGGGGACGCTGGAGCTGAGACGCCAACTGGAAATCACTTAGTGAAACAGGACAAAGGCAGAAACACTGACCCCAGAGCAGCAGGTGTGGAGAGAGGAGCTAAAATAAGACAAAATCTGTTGACGTTAGGAGAAAGAAATAAACTTCAAACGTTCAACCTGCAGGACGCGAGACACCGAGACCTCACAAGAACCAGTGTCTCCATAAAACAACTGCAGGCCATTAGAACAAGGTGTGGAAATGAGTAAGACGTGCAACCAAAACCTAAATTCAAATTCTTTCGCCTGTGTCGACTCAGTTTTCCTTCATACGTGTGTGGCAATTTCTGACCGGTGACTTCATCTGTGTTTTTCTCAAGGATATCCCTCTCCTCTCGAGGCACAATGAGGCAGCTTCCTGTTTGGAGAAGGCCGCGTCCAGGCTTCGCTCACTCGCCCTCGCCTTCACGTCATTTCCCCGTTTGTTCTGCCCCAGAAACGTCACCTGGACGGCTCGAGATGATCCCTGTCGTGGTGAAAGTCGTCATTGTTTCAGGAGAAAAGCACGGACAAGTTTCTACTTGAGTAAAAGAAACTGAACTGAATAAAAGGGGAGTTTGTGTCATTTATCGGTAACAGGTAACAGGTAACAGGAAACAACTTTAACCGTGGGGCCTTACGGGTAAAGGTTTAATCTTCCCACCATATTTTTAAAGCCAGATTTTGTTTTCAGATAGCGTGTTGTCAGATAGAAATCTTGATTTACAAGTTTTAACTCGCCAAGGAGATTGTTTCCAGCAGCGTTTGTTTGATTGTTAGTTTTTAGGATTATGCAAAAACAGCTGGACGAACTATTGCGAAACATGACGGACGGATGAGGCAGGAACATATTTAAAGTTTGGTGTAGTTTTTTCTCTCTTTCCTTGATTTCTCAGAGAATAATTCATGGATCTAGATTTTAAAAAAACAACTTAAAAATCTGCATCTGTTGATTAACCAACAAAATGTCTCAGAGAATAATCGGTAAAAGTTATTGGGAGGTTTAAATGATGAGACTCTTGCTGTGATCTGGATCTCTCCCTCCAGTTCTGTTTGCTAATGAGATCGTGTGTTAGAGTGAGATGTCGTTAAACTCATTAACATGAGTTATAACATTAGTTATCCTAACTTCTTTAACACCTTTCACCACTCGCATACAAAACAAATCCAGGACGAAGAGGAGAAGCATCATCATCGTCAAAGTTTCCCTTTGAAATGTGACTTTTTGTTACCGTACATGTTGTAATTCTTATTAATTGAAAGAGCTCCTCCGAGAAAACATAGTTGAATAAATTCTGTCTGCAAAAAAAAAAAAAGAAAAAGAAAAGTTTTTTTTTTCTGTTTTCATGTTGGAGCTTTAAGATAATTACAGATGAGGTCTATAGGAGTGAAGCTATTTTCTGAAATGTGGGGTTTCTAGTTCTGTGCGACAGGCCCGACCACACCAAACACTCACAAATTACTATTTTTCCACTGGCAAATTAACTTGTGGCTTTTAGTTTTGAGCTCAGTTCTGCTGGTGTGAGGTTTTCTCTCATATTAACATGGTTGGGAAAGAGAGATTCCACATAATCATGACAAACCTGATCAACAGCATGGAGCTGCCATGATCAGCTGCTGTGTTCAGCCTTCACTGCCATATTTAAGAAACACGAAGCAATGGAGGATCGAGCGCCTGAGGGGAAAACTGATAAGGTGACGATCTCACTTTCTTCCTCAGAAACAAAACATAATCTCAATCTCGATCTGTCATGGAGCTGCAGTTCCTCCTGAGGCCAGATCTCGGGTGGTGAAGGAGGGAGGGAGGGAGGGAGGGAGGTAGGGGGGGCACAGTGTTTGAAGGGTCATGCAGGAGAAGGAGGGAGAAAATCGTTGAAGGGCACAATCATTAAAGACCAACCCTCTGCGTGTCGAGTCCTGCCCTGCTCCACTCGCACACCACACTGTCGCTGCGGTGCGCACTGATCCACGGAGCCCGCGTCCTCCTCTCTCCTCCTCTGCTGCTGCTGCTGCGAAGTCTCACTGGATATTTACAAAGTTTTACAGGTGCGTGCTGAAGTTCTTTCCTAACGTGTTGGTCCGGTAATATCCGGACAGGGTCGTGAAGTGTGGCGGTGCCGCTCGCAGATTCTGTTAAAGGGATTTCACAGAGAGCCAGTGGCGATTGTTTTACGCACGAGCACGGATGGATAATTGTGATGTTTTACTTCATAGTCACACATTTACTGAAACGTTTCACGGTTTCCTGTGAGTAATTCAAAAATGGACTTAAATATAAAGAAAGTATTCGGTAAGGTCTGTCGCTTATGAAATGGAATTACCGGTTTGGATGCGCAATGCGTATTTACGCATAATTACGCATGAATGATAATTAATAAGCTGCGGGTTGATTTCTTGTTTATTTGTAAAAAAAAAATAAAAAAAGGGTGTTTGAGTCTTAAGTGGGAGGAAAACACTAAAGTCTAAAGATTGATGAAAAAGTTCGGTTTCAACTTTGGCTCAGATTTTAAACGTTCTTCGTTTTACACTTGATGTTTGAACATTCAGGCTTAAATGTTGAACATTTGTCCTCGTGCAAGAAAAGTTCTGGGAGTCGCCATTTCCCTTATCAGAGGGTTCCCCCCCCCTCATTATTCAAATTGATAAGATCGCAATTATGTGTTAATTATCTCTTTACTCTCCGGCTGTTGGAGACCGTTGCTACTTCTTTTCAATTCTCCCCTGACGTGTTTATTTCCTGCCACTAACTTTCTTCTCCTCTGGTTTTACGCAGACTGGCTCTCATCGCCTCCTAGTGCTTCTGCCCCGGCATCGAACAGAGTGATTTTTTTTTTTTTTTTTTTTTGTATGTTTTCGTTTTATTTGGAACAAACAGAACAGGCTCGTTAACTCGAACAAGAGTTTGTGGTCAAACTCTGCAGCCACAGTTTTTTAAGGAGGACAATTTTAAAACCACAGGAAATCCTATTTTACAGCTTCAAAAGGAACTTTTCTGTGTGAGTCTGTTTTGAAACTTTCACATCAAAAGAAAGAAGAAATAATGCACAACCTGAGGACTGGATGACAAACTATCTGTGGATCTGATTTGAGAAACAGGAAGAGAAGGAAAAAAAAAAAAAAAAAAGCACTGACTTGTGGGAAATACTTAATATGACAGAGTCCTCCCATGCTGCCTACGCTGCTGTGGCCCCGTCTGCGATCACAGCGTCCCCCTCCTCAGGATACCTGATGACGATGTTTCACGCGTACCAGAGCAACAAGGTCATCTTGGACCACTACAACTACACGGGCAAGCTGAAGGAGAACAAGTACAAGGACGGACTCAAACCGGAGGCCATCGTGTTCCTGCTGGTCTGCCTGCTCATCGTTGTAGAAAATGCTGTGGTGCTAATCGCCATCTGGAAGAACAAGAAATTCCATGTGCCCATGTACTACTTACTGGGCAACTTGACCCTCTCCGACCTGCTCGCAGGTTTCACCTACATGGTGAACCTCATAACATCAGGGGCCAAAACGCTACAGATGACCCCCGTGCTGTGGTTCCTGAGGGAGGGGGGTGTGTTCATCATGTTGGCCGCCTCGGTCATCAGCCTGCTGGCCATCGCCATCGAGCGCCACGTCACCATGGTGAGGATGAAGCCGTACCAGGGGGACAAGCAGGGGCGCATGTTTGCTCTGATTGGAGCGAGCTGGGTGTTGTCCGTGTTCCTGGGGGTCCTGCCCGTCCTGGGCTGGAACTGTATGGGACAGCTGGACCAGTGCTCCACGGTCCTGCCGCTCTACGCCAAAAGCTACATCCTCTTCTGCATCACCGTCTTCAGCGCCATCCTCATGTCCATCGTGGTGCTGTACGTCCGCATCTTCCGCATTGTCAAGTCCAACACTCAGCGCCTGGCTTCGGTTCCCCAGCGCAAAGGCCTCTACCGCAAGTCCCAGAAGTACATGGCGCTGCTGAAGACGGTCACCATCGTCCTGGGAGTCTTCATCGCATGTTGGCTGCCCCTCTTCATCTTCCTGCTGCTCGACTTCTGCTGTCCGGCCAAAAGCTGCGACGTGCTCTTCAAGGCCGACTACTTCCTGGGCATCGCCATGTTCAACTCCCTCCTCAACCCCATCATCTACACGCTGACCAGCAAGGACATGAGGAAGGCCATCATCAGGCTGCTCTGCCGACCCTGCCTCCTGACAAAAGACGGACAAGTGAAGAAGATCGGGATTCCTTTCCTGGAGTGCAGCACCAGTAAGACCGACGCGGCCTCTCACAGGCTGGAGGGGCTGGAGACGACGGTGTCCTCCGGTAACTTGACACCCTCAACGATCAAAGCCATCTATCCCAGGATGAGCAAGACATGACACACGGCTTCGCCCTGAGAGCAAACAGTCAGACTAAAAACTGGGCCACTCACGTGCTCCGGTGGAGCAGACCTGAGAAGGGCTGAAGCGTTGTGTTGCACTGCGTCACAGTTTCGGTTATTTTTGGTCTTCACGAGGAACATAAGCTAGACGTGTGTGATAAATGTCCACATTGGGAGAAAGAGTAACTTTTAAAAAAAACATTTTCTTTGCATGTTCTCTGTTATTGTATGATCATGAAAAACATTAATCTCGTGAAAAACTAGTATTAAATTTGTCTCTTTGGACAAAACAGGGCCAGTATTTGTCAGAGGAAGTTCCATCTGGCAAAAATGTCATTTCACTTTATGAAGTTAAAGAACCGTGTGTGGATAAATGCAGCCCACCACGCTGAACATCTGATAGACGAGGGCCGGAGCCATTTATCCTTATCTCTGCTCCCTGTGCAGCGTATAATCACACGTGGTTACAAACACGGAGCATCCACACCCAAACTCTGCAGCCATGTAATTTCTACCATGTGAGCGTTGGTCAGCGCGGATGCTGGGGAGAGGTCCTCCCCCACCGACATCAGAGGCTCCGTGGGCTGGAGACGCTCTGAAGACGTCATATTGGCGAGCTGGCTCTGGGTGGTTTGCAGCTCTGGAGGTCCCCTGACATGTGTAGCGACACATGATGAATGAGTAAAAGCAATAAAGGCCGACAGTGGAGGTTTGCTGACGCCTTTTTGGTTTAACAAACTACAATATCACAGTTACATGCTCGAGTCTCCAGAGCTTTGTAGTTGGGATAAACTTCACCTCACCACGAAGTGATGTGATTCGCCTATTTTTAGGACGAGACATGAAGATAAATATAATCTCGTCTTTCAGATCAGTGGGAGACTGATTTCATGACTGTATATAAATGTAAAGAAATAAAATATATTTTCACTGAGTTTTTTTTTTTTTTTTTTTAAAACACACTTTGTAAATATCTGTACCTTTGTTTGAGCTGCATTAATGTAAAAAAAAAAAAAAGAATCATTTTAAGTTATGTCTGTTTTATATGTGCACTGAATAAACATATGTGAATTATGTTTAACTCGAGGTTTGTTTCATGTCTCGCTGGACGACTCTCCTTACAGAAAAATAAAAAATATTAATGTAAACATCATAAACTGCAGAAGAAACCTGAATGTCAATAACAGGAAAAACATTAAGTCCTTGTTCTTCACACATTAAGATAAAGTGACTACATTTCATTTGGTATATTGACTTAATACATTTTTTAGAACATATTAAAGATATAAAAAAAAAAGTCCAAACAAGCCTCAGTTGCAAAGGAAACAAAGCCGTAAGGCGCTTGATTCTAAATAACAAACCCGCCGCCTCAGTGTAAACCACCTGTTAAACCACTAGACATTGACGCGTTGAGGAACCGACGAATTTGCAGGAAAAAAAAAACCCGATGCCTCGATGCTGTTTATCGTAAGGAAACCACTCGTGGGTGTGCGGTTCTTACAAGTTATGGTACGTGTGACTATGAGCCTCTCTGACACAGTCATCCCGCCCACCGTGCACCGAGCTGCAGAGGTGCAGCCGTGGCTTCTGAAGAGGGCGCAAAAGTTTCACACCTCAGTAGAGAGGGGGGCAAATCATAACAGATCCAATCAAGTGCTTTGCATTGCAGACAAAGTTTGTGGACATTATCTAGATATGAAGTCGTATCAGAGAATCGCTGTCTCATTACTGATATTAGGTTTCATGTTCACTTCTATTATGCCTCCGTAGAGAGGGTCCCCTCGATGTAAATATAAAGTATTTTAATATAAAGGGTCTTTTCTGGGGGTGAAGAAAACTACAATTCATATAATTTAGATTAAATGAACCAGTGAAAACATCATGAGGATTATTCTACATTAAGTTTCTGCCAATAGTTCCCGTTCACCTAAATCTTACACACTGGACCTTGAAGTCACAGTGAGGAGGTTTAACACATGATCGATCCACCTCAGATTTATAAAAACGTGTTTTAAAACCACAACCTTCTCTCAGGAGCAATAATCAGTCTTTTAATGTAAAATAAATAATAATGTGACATTTACTGATAATTCGCTGAATCAATAAACTGCCGGAATAAAAACAGAATAAATAATAAACCAAAAGTAAATGTTTAAATAGTTTGTTATAAAGGAGATGGATAAAAAGATGAAGTATAAGTGAGTAATATTCAGGTAAAAATATATTAGTTATAATAGTAAACCTCTGCCTGTAGTAGTAAAATTGTAAAGGTCACTGAGTGAAGAAAGATATTGTAACTTCTACTTTGAGGGTCTCGTGGGGCTGAAGCCAATCCCAGATGATTATTAAAGCTAATATTACTATTAGTATTATTGCAAAGACATCAACTGTAATATAATTAGTCGAGATCATTTAAAATGTAGTAATAAGAAGACATCTGGTACACGACTGGTGATGATGATGAAGTGAAGAAAAGGTTCTGAAGACTAAAGCCTCTAAAACCCTCACAGAGCTTTCATCTCTCTGCCTTCAGCTCGAGTCATGTGAGTTTGTGTTGCTCTGAGGAAACCATGTTGGCATTTAAACATATTTACATGATCGCACTTCAGCCCTGAATAGCTCTGCAGCGCCACCTAGTGACCGACCTGCACTCGGCCTTGTCTGACAGCAAGTTTCAACAATTTAACTTCAAGACTTTTAAACACTATAACGAATGAATGGATAGATAGATATCAATAGAAACTACTGAACCATTGGTCTGAAAGATTTAATCTTTTAAAACAATATACATGTTATACTGACAATAAGAATTCAACAAACACACAAACACATAGTGTACACAACGTGCCTGACCACACCACCATCCTCCGTCTACCATTTAGTGCTGACAAAGCCCCACAACCGGTCGCTTACGTTACTCCGAGACTGCGCTGACGTGTCAATGTTGATGGGGGTTGCCAGGTCTGCGCCATAGTGCACTGCAAGAAGAGACAACGCACAAAGTGAAGCCCCATTGTTGGACACAACACACAAGATACTGTGAATACATGCACAACCACACAGAGTAAGACCATACCTCCTTTTAACGTGTTGGGTGGGGCATCATATTCCCACTTGATCTTGGTTATTAGGTAGTACACCTGAGCCACATACCTGCAGTAGACGGAATGTCGAAAATACATCAAACAATACTTTAACGGATATCGAGGTAGCTTCAGGTGCAAAGCTGATTCGCCCGTTACTACGAGACGCTTCAAACTGAAATAAAAACTAAAGCCTCTGTTTTTTTATTAGAAGATGATCCACACAGTTAAACATTCCACACGGTTATGAATAAACAATTCCCGATTCTGCCTCCTTCAATTTCTGTTCGCAGTATCTCAAACGAAAAGACGGAAAGGACACAAGTACTCACACTGCTGAAGGGATAACCTCGGTGGTGTCTTCGTCCACTTCGCTCTGAAGAGTCTCAAGCTGGTGTTCAGTGTTTCTCACGCTCTCCAGCTCTCCCTTCAGAAACCTGGAGGAGGGTTAAGGACGCTAACACAGAAAACAGCGAATGCAGCCAGACAGAATTTATAAATCACACTTTAAAAGAGACTCTTAACATTCCAAACACACAAAAAAAAGATACTGCAATTCCGAGTCAGTGATCTGGCTCTTGGCGATGCACTGCCTCAGCTGTTCCTCCAGACTGTCCAGCTCCCTGTCTCTCTGCTGCTTCTCCTCCTCCATGTCCAGCAGCCTCTGACTCACACTCTCCTCGATCTGAGCCTCTTCTGTGGGTGAAGGAAAGCGATGAGACGGATGTCAACGTCGTAAAGCGAGACAGACAAATCTGGAAGTGAACAATATAATGTGGTGCAACAGATGCTGTGCTGCACTGTGACAACAATGACAGCTCAACAGAACCAAGAGGTCATCAGGTGTCTGAACACTCGCCTTTTAGAATCTGCGTCACAATCCTCTTCGTGTCCACGTGCTGGTCAAACAGGGACTGATGTCCAGCTTTCAGCCGCTTCAGTCTGTCAGCCTGGCTGGAGCTGATGTACTCCAACAACGTCTCCCCCATCTCCTCCAGGTCTTGAAACTTCTGAGCCTTCGCCATCGTGGGGGACGCCGGGAGCCAACGAAGACGCTGAAGGGGAAAATATTACATCAGTAAAAATACACAAGTACTAATACTTCGATGAGATAACTATAAATATACGAACCGGATCCATTCAGTGTTAAACCTCCTCACACAACACACACTCATGATATTGAAGTACATTAATAAAGTGGTAGCAGTAGAGTACTTAATACTCAAAGTATTTAAAAACAGAGAGATAACAGAAGACAAAGTAAAAAGAATAAAACAGACCTGCTACATAAATCAGCTGATTAAAAACTGTTTTCACGAACATGGTTGTTTACTGAACTAGAGAAGTATTAGAGGTTTTACTTCAGTACTCGTCATTCTGAATTGTACCTTTCTGCATGACGAGTACTTCTACTTCAGTTGTATTTTGTTCATGCTCGTACTTTAATACTCACTTCTGCTGTTGGCGTCGCTGTGTTTCCTCACGTCGTTCACAGAAACAACACGAAGCTGCTGCGGTGAAATCAAACGAGTCGCGTGTTAAACTTGAAACTTCACGATCTTCGCTCCGCGAACATTCGAACAAAGTTCACGTGAGAATCAAACGTTTTGTTGACAAAGTGAAAAACAGCACGACCGGTTACCGAGCAGCCACTTCCGGGATTCAAACGTCAGACCGGTGCGCGCCTATTTTTGCTCCGTCTCTTCTTCTTTGGTGAATTCACAGCAGCCTCCGGCGTTACACCGCCCCCTGCTGTTATGTACGGGAAGTGACCTAATCATAGTCTGTGGATCTAATGTGATCTATGATAATAATAATTATATTAATATTAATAATAATAATAATGATTGTGTTTGTATGGAATTTATCTAAACGAAGTTACAAAGTGCTTCACAGGAAAAATAAAACAATCCATGTCCAGAAGAATGAATGATGATAAAAAGGTTTTCAATTCAGTGGAATGTTTTGGGCCACGGAGCAGTTTAACCATCAGACTGGTCGTTGCAGTGACAATAATAACTTCAGCTGTACCTTGGTGTCGTCGAGTGTTTCAGCCCATTAATCACAATAACGTGAGAGAAGCTAAATGTGAATTTGATGTAACGTGACGTTTTCTGTGTTTAAATAAATTCACTTTCTTTCTTTTCCTCTTCTCCTCAACTCGTTAAACGGGGGTGAGAACATGACACGTTCTTTAACAGGCTGGAGCTGGTATGTTTGATATTCGTTTATTTTTTTTAATGTTTTCTTTTGCTTGTCTTATTGTGCTTTGTTTTCTCTCTCTCATGCTGTGGTATTGTTCTGAGTGCTATCATTTTGTTAACGTCAGTTTTACTAAAAATGAGAGAAAACTACTAATTTAATAAATATGCAACATATTTTATTAGTGTTGTCAGTTGTCACACAAGGTTAAATTATTAATTTAAAGTGAACAATTGAATAATAAGAGAATGTATTAGTGTAATTATCTTTAAATGTAAAATTGGACCAAACCAAAAGAAAGTAAATATCTTATATTGTAAAACCACAAAATAAAGTGTGAGGCAGAACACACACTACAGGGATCAATCATCACTCCACTCTAAACCACACAACGGGAGTGTGACCTTATTTTATTGCTTTCATCCATCAGGTTCAAACCACGAGCACAAGCATGTTTTGATATTACCAATACACACCAGGTCTAAATCACACTTCACCTGCAAGATAACTACAGATGATGAAATATAAACGTTCACACTATGAAAGCAACTGGCTGAACTCACCACTGGTCCCAGAATGTGCAGGAATTTTCAACAGTAAATGTTGCAGGTAAAAATATGTGTTGAAATCTAAAGGTCCATGTGAGGTGATCACACAAGTGACGTGAACCAAAATGTATTTATCTCTTTAATCATAAAAACGAGTGTGTCAGCAGGAGCCGTTATCACTCTTTGTTCTTCTGCTTCTCTCTCTTCTCCCTTTCTTTCCGTCTTTGTCTGCCGAGCTGTCTGAAGTGAAGTCTCTTGGGGTTCAGACCGTAAGCCTTCAGTCTCTGTCGACTGAACTCCCGGCCGCCGATCGTCACCCTGCAGCGCCCGGATATGAGGCGTCCACCCGGGCGCTTGTGCTTCTTCTTGGACCAGTTTGGCTTCTCGGTCGTGTTTTTCACCTCGTCGACTTGATCTGCAGCAGCAGCCTGTGGTTCCTCTTCCTGTTTCGTCTTTTTCTTGGGGATAAGGAACTCTTCCTCCTCCTCCTCTTCTTCTTCTTCCATGCTGTCGCCCTCTCCAAGAGCCTGAGCAAGTGTCTCGTCAGCTGAGTCCGCGGCGGAGCCTGCCTCACCGTCCTCAGCTGATGTACTTTGCTTCTCAGCGTTCTTCAGACGATCTCTCCTCTTCTTCCCGACCTTAGTTTTAGCGTCTGCCGACTCCTCATCTTCCCTGTAGATTAAATTCACACAATTATTACAGAGAAGGTGAATTTATTATTGGTTAGTTGGTTTAATTGTGTTTTACTCACTCAGCATAAACGGAGCTCAGGATTTCTTTCCTCTTCTTTTCATTCTGGGCCTTGATTTTATAGTTTTTCAAATCACTTGCCTCCTCTCGGTCAGTCCTGACAGAGGAAGGAAAGGATTCACGTGCGGTAAATGACATGAGAACAGAAACAAGTTGTAAAACCTTCTAGGACGTTGGCAGTACCTGAACATGCAGGTCTTCTTCAGAGAGCACCATCGGTTCAGCTCCGTGTCATTCGCATGTAAAATCTGGAGAAAGAACCACGTTTATTAAAAGAACGGATCATTTACGTCTCTCTGAAACACATTTGGTCAGAATGTTTAGAGACTGTTCTTGTGGCTTTATCTCATCAGCGTGTGTCCTGCTCAGAGAGAAGATTAAAAGTGAGATCATTCCCTGGTCAGAGCTTTTCCCCGGAGGGAAGCAATACCAGTTCATTCACCTCAAGACTCATCACTGCAGCATTCACCAACATCCATTCTCTCCACATTCTACACAAAACACCCAACTGCTCGCAAATCCCTTGAAAATGCTGCTGCTGCTGCTGCTCTCACCTCCTCTGTGGAGAGACCGAAGTCGTTGGCGAGGACCTGTCTGTAGCGAAACCTGCAGGGGAGGTCGTCTATAATGTCCTCATAGTCCAGCTTGTAGTACTCATCCAGGTACTGCTCAAAGCTCTTCTCCTCTGAAACACAAGCAGCCGTCAGTGAGGTAACAACCACAGCACGCATTCTACCTGGCAGGAGACACGGGACACTTACGAGGATCAAACACGGGCTTGTTTTGGGTGATGACCTCGGCAAAGTGAGACTTCTTCCTCTTTTTGCCCATCTGTGGCATATCCTCTTTCTTCATCTTCTTCCTCTCCTTTTTCTTCTTCTTCTTGGAGGCAGTCTGCTGACTCGGGTCGAAGTCTGCATCCATCTATTGCGACAGGATGAACTCTGAGTGAGTGATCGTGGCAGCGGAGCGGAGGATTAAAAAAAAAAAAAAAAGCTTTTCAGAAAGACTCACAATGAAGTCATCATCGTCGCAGTGTGGCCCAGAGGCAGCATGTTGCTGCCCGTCTTCCTCTTCACCGTAGACGTCTTCTTGTCCCTCTCCTGTCCACGTGTCCCAGTTCCAGTGCTCTGAACACACAAGACGCCACAGTTCACCTCGACACGTTCATACAGCTCGAACATTTACCACAACAGATTGTTTGCAAATGTTTAAATCTCCAGCTCCACCTCGAACGGAACCTGAGTCCTCGTTCAAAGCTCAACAATGCTGCACAAACCAGTGTGAAGAAAACACAAGGCCTACCTTCATCATCGTCATCATCAAACTGAGGCTTTTCTTCTTCTTCTCCTCCGTAATATTCATCTCCGAAGAATTTCTGCGAGGAAAAGGAGAAAGGTTTTGGGAGCGCTCTCTTGATGAGGGGCAGCAGGAGCAGTGTGGCGATCGGCAGCAGTCAGGCTTTAACACCGTGACCTCGAAAATTAGGAAGCAGCTGCTCGTGCACTCAGCCAACGACACAGTGCACCTGTGTGAGCTAGGTAGCACACACCTGTGTTTAATTACTCCCATGATGCATCTGTGTCACCTCAGAGGGAGGTTATCTGAGCGGAGGATCAAAACAAACACATTAGACACTTTTACATTAATATTCTGATGAAAACATCTAAAACAAATTACATCATCTTACGGAGTTTTCAACGTTTTGCGACATCGACACACAACAGTTCCCGACTGCTTGACGACACATGTTGACGTAGACGAGAGTCAGGACGAGGGGCTGCTAATGCCCGAGTGTGTGCGTACACCCACCTGCATGAGCTGGTCGTGTTGCTGTGGGTTGAAGTCTCCCTCCAGGTCGACCTGACTGAAGGCCAGCTGCTCGTTGCCCGTCAGCTCCTGAAGCTTCTTCAGCTTCTCCACTATCTCGTTGCGCTTCAAGTTCTTCAGCTGCTTCAGCTGCTGCTGCTTCTGCTCCTTTTCCTGAAATAGTTGAGAGACAGAGGTTAGCGATTAACCGAGGGCGGCTGAGAAGCAGAAAAGGTTTATATTTAGAGATCAAGAGCTTGATTAGATGTGAAACCTTTTGCTTTCTTTCTTTCACTTCCTCCCTTTTGCGTTTTCGGCGGTCGTCTTTGGAACGCACGGACGTGGCGATGGTGCGGGGGTAGGTCTTGATCTGCGTGGCGTCAGGCTCTTCGAAGCGGAAGTTGTAGCTTCTCTCAAAGTCTTCCTGCCGCTGCAAGAACGTCTCCCCTTCCTCCTCAGAATCATCCAGATCATCCTGGACCACCTCGTCGTAAGTTGGGATCCTGAACGTACCAGGAGGATTTAAACACACACCTTCAAGTCACAGGCCGAGAAAGCAAACGCAGATCCACACGGAGACGTACCGATCATCCCCGTCCTCGCCATCCTCCAGGTAGCCCTTGTTAAGCATGTAGTCTCTCAGGAAGCACTCCTTCTCATCCAGCTCCGGGTCATTCCAGTAGTCCCTCAGGTATTTCTGTCCCAACACAAACCAGCGATAAAATGTTTATTTGTTCCAACAGGAAGTTCTTTCGCTGTCTCGTCTACACGCAGACACTCACCATGTCCTTCACCTCCTCTGGACCGTCCAACTCAGCCTGACCTTTCAGCCATTCCATGTAGTCGGCCTCTTCTTCATCCTACAAACAGATACGAACACGTTTAACCTGAGCTGTGATGCTTTTGTATTATTTTCAAGAGGAGCAGCCAGTTCCAGCGTCTGACCTTCTCCTCCTGTGTTTTGATCCTCCTCGTCAGCAGCTGGGATCTTTCGTCCCCCTCGACGGCCTCGTCCTCCTCATCACTGTCCTGGATGAACTTCCGGAAGCTGGCGAGAGGTTTAAGTTTCTGTAAATAGCCCGTGAGCGATACTGCAGCACAGTTTCTAGATGGTTTGAGCCTCACCTTTCCTTCAGGTGCTTCTGTTCTTGGATGTAGCTCGGAGAGGCTGCTCTCTGTCGAGGAAAAAACATTTTGAACTATCTGACGCACGCAAAGATCGAGAGGCAGCGAAATGACAAAATGAAAAACGTATAGGTTTGTCTACCTCTCTTCTCATGGCGGCCTCCTCGTCGTCGCTGTCGTCATCGTCTTCATATTTTCTGATCAGAAAGATTTTATACGATCAAAAAGTTGCTGTAACTCCTGAAGATCGGACAGATTTTATATATCGGACCCGTCTGGTTGTGCTCCTGACGAACGCTGTAAATGATGGAGCTCGCTCACCCTTCTCTTTCCAGTATGACTTTCCGTTCGTAGTCCTTCAGATACATGGGCTTCGCTGCTCTCTGTGAAGTCGAGGGCTTCTCGTCACTGGTGGACGCTCCTGAAACCGAGAGATTGTTTCTGATCATCTCTTCACCAGAAATAAAAAAAAAAGTCCCACACACCGTGAAGGCAACGCCACCGACTGTCCGTTACCTTCGGAGTAGAACGTGGCATCTTTCTCGTAGATCTTCGGATCTTTCTTCTTCAGCAGTGACAACGTTCTGTAAAAGTCTCTTTCGACTGCGGGGTCGAGCTCCTGAGAGAAGGGGGGGAGGGGCAGATAACAGTCAGACAACATCAGTGAGAAAGTTTTGTCCACAAACAGACGGAGGAAGAATCGATGCCGACCACTTCACTGTCGTCAGAGCTGGACTCAGACGTCTCAGAGTCACTGTCGTCCCCTCGGTCTCCGTATCTGTCCTTCACTGCAGGACACAGAAAGATGACGTCAACAAGTTACACACCGTTCTCTTTTCTTTCTCTCTTCATTCTTTGCTGAATTTGTTTTCATTTCTTTTTCCTTTATTTCCTTCTTTTTGTGCCAAACACTGATCGTCTGACGGAAACCCACTGTGCAGCCTCTTAAGTTAATACTTCAGGTTTGAGTAAATGATAAATAATGAAAGTCGTGTTTGCAGCGTGGAGCGTATCTAAGGTTTGACAGTTAAAAACAATAATGCTGTTTCCTGTGTGCAGCCCAAGCTTGTGTTTAATTTCCTTTTCATATTTGGAGGCTTGACAGAAATCAACAGAGGATTTATGAGATAAGATAAAATGAGATGATCCTTTAATGGTCCCACAGTGCGGAGATTTGACTGATTTTAAAAATGTGAATTTAGAAGGGGATGTAACAAAATATAGAGTATAAATTATAAAAGGCTGAAAAGGAGCGACAGCTGCTGTGACTAATTACTGTCATAAGAATAATTATCTCATCTTTAAAATGTCAACACAATAATAAATGAAAATGTGAACATGTGAGGAGCTGTGATCGTTTTGTTTCAAAATCTAAATGAATAAATAAGATGACATTAGCGCACAATGGCTGAGCAGAGCTGTGATCGCTCACTTTTAATGTGAATTGAACGTCATGTGTTTGTTATTGTGTCTTTAACTTTGAGCTACTTCACGAGAATGAGGTGAAACTCTATCTCCTGACTCCGTTTGTTTAGATCTAACACCAGATCGTCACGTTCTTCACCGAGTTTTATTAAAAACTACAGATTTAAACAACTGAAGCTAACGACGCTTCCCCCCCCCCCCACGTTGCTAAGGTTAGCTTCCCCGTTAGCATCGACACACTTACGCCGCTGTAATTCTTCTCTCTGTCGGTATTTCTCGTATTTCTGCGCAAACTGCGAGTTGATTTTCAGCTCAGACTTCCCCGACATGTCGGAACCCGGAGGAGAGAAACACGCGAAGCAACGAAAACGAGGCTAAAGACGAGGAGACATCTCAGGAACACACGTGGGAGGAGGAACACACGTGGCTTCCGGTGAGCGCGCTGCACACGACGACCTGTAGGGGGCGCGATGACGACAGTTTCATTTCCTCCAGAGAAATAAAGATTTAGATTTTTTATTTTTATTTAAAGTGTTTTCACAAGATTTTCTTTCAAGAAGTAATAATAGTTAATAAACAAATATTTAGATTTTTTATTTTAAGAAGTAATAACAGTAAATAAATAAAGATGTTATTTGTGTTATAATAAATATTTACAAATGACATATACAAATATAGAAGAAGAATAGTATGGTATATATTTATAAACTATATAATACTGTGTAAATATAAGGCTGATACGTATAAAATAAAGTTATTTAAATAAAATATATAAACACAATGTGATGTAGAGGACTCACAGAGAACAACGGTTTGTCTACAGGCGTCTATCAACATGAAGACGTTGCTTTTAAAAGTAATAACAGCAAATAAATAAAGATTTTATTTGTCATTGTATAATCACGTTGTGCCTATGATAAATATTTACAAAGAAAATACACAAATATAGAAAATAAGCTATACTGCACTATAGTATAATATGGTATATGTTTATAAACTGTATAATACTGTGTACGTATAAGGATGATATGTATAAAATAGTTATTTAAATAAAATATAAACACAATGCGACGTAGAGGAGGATTCACAGAGAACAACTGTTTGTCACCTGTGTTATATTGACTTCACCTTTACATTCAGGACATTTCAGTAAAAGGACTTTAATATAATACCAGGTTAATTCTGACACTGATCGAGGGTCAGTGAGTTGATCGGTGAACCACCTCCTCTGGTAAACAACATATTCCACTGAAGCTGAATGTCACCAGGGATCGGAACAGTGAGTGTTTGCACAATCATGTCTAGTGATGAGGATGTTTACTGTGAGGAATTTCTTGTGTCCCATCGGAGCAGTTTTTCCAGAAAAAAACCTGACATGACTCAGCATCAGTGTGGGTCAAAAACATGGAGCATGTCCGCTGGAGTAGAACGATAATCATCTCAGCAGGTAAACACAAACCCTCGACCTGATCCTGGGACGTCAGTGAGGTGGCGCAGACGTATGACACCGAATATTGATCACAGACGCACAACTCACACAAGTGGCACAGAATGAAAAACAGTAAGGTTCAACGTGGTTGTTCCAGATCTGTTGTAGTGAGAATTTCTTTTTAAGGGAAATATTAAAGACACCACTTCTGAGTATCAAGTGTATAAATCAGTAATTACTAACATCTGAGAGGCTAAAACCAACGAAAACCTACTGACTTGATCTTAGCTGCTCGTCAGGAACACAACAAGAATAATAATGATGATGAGAATTATAATTTTAAAGAAAGACACACTTAAAAATCTCTCTCTGGATGCAAACAGTTTATTTTTTCGTGCTATGATCCTTTGGGAGAAACAAATAAAAACCATCATCACGGTTTCAGTTCTTAACTTTGTTGCATGTTGTTTCCCGTCTCTCTCCGAAACCTAAAGACAAATAAAAGAATCTTATTCTCTCTGAACAAGTTGGATAAAATGTGATCAGAGGAATCGTTGGTCAGGCTGCAGAGGCGTGTTTGCTTCTCTCACTCTCTCTCTCTCACTCTCTCTCTCCAGCAAAACAAGGCCTGAGCAAAGGTCAGAGATTATCCAGGGACGGAGCATCCAGCTGGGTGTATTTGTTTATGTAGGCCACTTCCACCCAGAGAGAGAACATGTCTCAATATCTGGTGACATTCACTGGAACCTGCACAGAAATGTAAACGTGTTCGAGTGTTCGTGATAAACCTGAGATAAAAAAAACATTAAATGTAGAAGTAGAAAACCGTCGGTGACCTCAGCTGTGTTTATTCCATTCACAAGTCAAACCTGGAAAGATCCTGACGGTCACGCTTGACCTTCTGCGTTTAAATGAACGATCAATGACGTCAAAAGATTCGGGTTAAACCTTTCTTCGAAAAAAATACTTTTTCTGTCGGATGAGCAAACAAAAAAATATCGTATCCAGTTCTTGATTTGGCAACAAGTGCTGAGAGTCCCAGGATGAGTTGTGTTAATGTTTGTCTACAGTTTATGTTTCACTGGAGAGTATGGATTGAAAGTCAGCATCAACTGGTTTGTTTCTTATCTGCGTGTTGTGAGTCTGTGGATGCGTCACTGCTCTTTTTCCGTGACTTGCATCAGCTCATCACTTCCACTCAAAACCTTGAGCTTTGCACACGAGGAGTCCAGAGATGCAGATGTTTGGGGTCACACAGATGTTTGCTTCCACAGTTCTCTTCTGCGGTAGCTGCTGCTGTCAAGTTGTCCTAAAGCGCAAAATAAATGCATCACAAACGCATCACGACCGTGTCCACAGACCGCTCGTCCTGCTTGTGCAAACACAAATCAGTTCAATAAACTGCTCTGTTGGCTCAGAAAGACCTCGACCATGTTTGTGAAGTTGAAACTGCTCCTTGAAAATCACATTAATGGTGAAAAAGTAAATCACCAAAGGATTCATGCGTCCAGACTTTGTTCCACGTCATCAAATCTTTTGATTTCAAGAGGGGAAAGTTAAAAATGAACTGGAGAGACTTTCCCACAAGTAGTGATGTTATTTTTCCGACACATGATCTCACAGCGTTGGAGGATTCTAAGAAACCGTGTCTCTTCTTCACTGTGACGTCTGGACTTTCCAGGAAAGTCTCGCATTCCACAAAAAGAAAAAAAAAAAAAAAACTACACAAAAACACCAGCAGGCCCCCCAAGAGAAAGAGGGAGGGGAGCACAGGGAAGAAATAAAGGCCTCCCTCCGTGTTCTCCGCCATGTGTGCATACCAGAGCCATTAAACAGTCAAACGTTCACATTTTTCAAAACTTCTCCTCTGCCACGTACCTCAAGTTCGGTTCGGCAACAACACGGGGATGGAAAGTAAAGAGGAGAAGATCGTACAGTGTAAAAGATTTTACACCAGGAGAGAAAACAGGAGGACGTGACTACATCAAGGAAAAATAGAAAAGTTCATGTTGTGGACGACTGTCGTACAGGAAGTGATTCCCAAACACAGACAGTAAAAATAACTCAACTCCAGTGGATAAACAATTGAAATAAACTAAAACTGGTTTATGAACAGTTGAAACCGTTTGATAGAGATAATATATAAAATAGTTTTGAGTTTCCATTGCTTTTTATTTTGTGGAAATGTATCAAATAAACCGCTGAAAGAAACTGAAGGTGTCGGATAAATCTAATATGAACTGTTGAAAATGTTCAACGAACTTAAACAGATGATTCAATAAAAAATAGCTAAGAATTAATAAATAGTTAAAATTGCAAAAACTAATGTTACAACTGATGTTACTACTAAAACAGATAAACACAATATGGAGCCGGAAGATGAATAAAGAAGTTAAGAGATGAAGTTGTTTGTATTCATATTCATGTTTTGTTTATATATATTTAATATTTTCTACTGGATCCCATGAAGGGAGAAGTGAAAAAGGTGAAATGGCTTCTAATGCATCCATGAACATACAGGCACAAAAAAAAACAACTCGGAGAAAAGTGATTCTATAATAAATAGAAGCATTTATTTATGTACAGCTGATGTTGAAAGTTCACAACGAAGACTAAACCGCTGACATTCTTACCAAAAACATATCGCACGAGAGATATTTACATTTATGAACATGATATTTACACAGTTGATCTGCTCGTCGGTCAGTGGATTTGATTTTTGTGAATTATTTCCCCGAGGGCCCCCCGGGCCCACATCACAACGACATCTTTGTTGGGTGCACGTTAACGCTGCCACTTCCCTCGCACAGTCCTTTGTAAACAGGCAGACACATTGATTGTACGCACATCCACAACAAATAAAGAAATTTAAAAAGGCACACGTTTATCAAAAAAAACATATAAATCAGCTCAAAAAAATAGAAAAGGCCACGATGGGGCCCCTGGCTCTGTTTCCCTCAGGAATGCTGGAATAAGGCAAACGGAGGTTCTGGTTTTTTTTTTTAAGGCAGGATGTAAATATACACACACGTGGCCTGGTGCAGGGCACGAGGCGAGGCCCCGGCGGTCACACGTGACTGCATCAAAAGCTCCTCCGACTTTGAGGAATGCTCTGGTCCTCCTGAGAGGGAGAGGGAATTTAAAGACGTCTCTCCTGTGGATAGACGGTCGACCACAAATCATTAGAACGGAGCAGGAGCAGTGTGAAATCACAGACAGCTGCTAACGGTCAGTAAATTAAAGTGAGGGTACAGTATTCAAGGTGTGGAGGTTTCTGTGAGGTTACCTACAGCAGTGACTTCAATAACAATAACATGAACAATGTCGTGGGATTAAAAACCAGTTTCCAGTCAAACAATAAAAGTTTGAGACGTTATATTAGAAGATTGTGCATAAAGGCCATTATCAGGCGACCCGGCTCTGTCCTAATAATAAAATACAAATCAAAAAAATCTGCCTTTCACCAACTCGAAAGCTTAATTATGAACAATTTCATCATTTAATCTGTACAACAGTAAAAATGACTTGGTTCTGCAGGTTCTGTGTCCAGACTCCTCAGATGCATGTTGGCGGCTTTTCAAACTTGCGGACAGAGCCACGTTTGCAGTTTCCTCGTGCTAAACCGAGCTGAACGCTGCAGGTGGAGGTGCCTTCATTCTGAGCCGAGGAAGCGAATCCGCACAATTCACCCCAAGTGTTCGACTGATGCTTTAAACTATAAATAGTTCAAGATGTGATAAAGTTTCATCGGCGGCGGAATACAAAAATAATAATATGTGATATTTACAAACACTCATCTGTGAAATCTATGTAACATGAGTTAGAGGGTTGTGTCCGGTTGGGTTCAGTCAAACTGACGCAGTGATGTGGCTTCAACGATCACAGTTCTCCAGGTGACTCATCACAGTTCGGATAAGAAAGTTTCTCCGCTGCGGAGCGCCGGTTCATCTGTGAGGATTTAGTGGTTCAAGCTTGTCTGGAACTGGCTTTGACTTCCATATAGTTGTGCTGAGTGAGGTAAAAAAAAACAGAAATACACAAAAAAGGGACGTCCAGGGGTAGCTTATCGTCGACGTCTTCTCTCCACGTCGCTCAGTTTTCCGTGAAGGCTGGATTGTCTGCCTCTTCGTCCAAACTCACAACTTGTCTCTGAGGGGAGAGCAAATGAAAACAAAACATTTAAAAATCTGTGTTTTAACACCTTCGGGTTTTAGTCCGGTTAAAATCGCACTGTGGTTTGTTTTGCTCTGGATCGGCTGCACCCAAGAACCAAACCCCTGGAAAAAACCGTTTGTTGTGATCGTGATCTGACCTCGATCAAATCCAACCACCTGGTGATGTCTGCAAGTTTGAGCGACACGACTCCTGCGGACAGCGGAGCGAACGCACCGCAGCAGCCTGTGTAATAGTAGTGGGCGGCTCCGGGGTAAATTGCTAAGCGATGTTTCTGTCACAGAAATATGCATCGAGCGATTTGACCGAGAGTAAACTTTCTCACAGGTGTTGCAGTGATGTTTTGTTTTGCTGAGAAAAAACTCCAAGTTTAAAAACACGAGTCATCTGATTCAGACCAGATTAAAACAAACCATGATTGAATTGTCGTCGACTTCTAAAACGGAAACTTTGGCTAAAATGCAGCGAGAACTTAAGCGACTCGTGTCAAACTCACCTTCGGGTAGGAGTAACCATCGGGGCTGTTGCTCCTCCAAATGTGCACCTGGTCCTCGGTGGTTTTCTGGTAGACGGGGTTGTCAAAGTGAATCGTGTTGGTGTTCTTCAGCCTGTAGTTCCTCCACAGCAGCACGCCGCCAACCGCCACGAGACAGACGATCGCTGCACGAGGGAAAGAAATCCAGAGAGAGGTGAGACGTGGGAGGTGATACTTCAAATATTTGGTATTTTTTCCATGAGGAAACTCATGGACTCACCCAGAGGGAGGACAATGTACAGAGCTATCGGAGTGGGGGAGGCCGTCTTGGGTACGGCTGTAGCAAAAACAGGTCGCACGTCTGAAGGAAAAGTAAACACAGTGAATGATGCGCCTGCTTCACGCCAGGACGGTGCAACGTGAAAACCAACAACCAAACACCACGATGGCTCTTACCTGGAGAGGTGGCCGGAGCCTCTGTGGTGGTCTGCAGGATCTTAGGCTTCACTGGCTGGGGTGTGGTGGTCCTCGGCTGGGGTGTGGTGGTCCTGACCAAAGGCTTGGTGGTGCTCGGTGCTGGCTTGGCTGCAGAGCTGGTGATTACGACAGGCACCGCGGTGGTGGTGTGGACCTGGGGTTTGGGCGTGGCTCTGGGTGTGGTTCTGGGCGTGGTCCTGGGCGTGGTCCGAGGTGGCGCTGGCGGCAGACGCGCAGGAACGGTAGGTGGAATCTGAGGCTGCGCAGGAGCTGCAGATGTAGGAACAGCTGGTGGAGAACAGAAGGTAAAGGGTGAGATCATGGCTTTGCTTCTTCGTCATCAATTTTCTTTTTTCGCGACTTTACGCACCAGGCACACACGTCCTCATATCTCTGGCGAGCATCATGTTGTCCGGACAGACGCAGGTATATTTGGGCGGATGTCGTCCCACTTGAGGAGCGGCCAAGCACATGAACTCACAGCCGCCGTTGGAAACCTGGCACCAGTTCCTCCCTGTAACAAAAACACACATTTAAGATTTGAGTTCAACCCATTTAAACATTAGAAGGTCAATCAATGGATGTGAACCTAAAGTGGATCATGTGGTAAATGGTGGATGACACAGTTTTACAGTTTGAGCCAATACAAATTAATAATAAGATGAATATCATCAATATAAACAATAATGTGTTGAATAAAAATAGTGTGTTTGTATCAGGTATGTGTGAAAAAGTAAGTTAATAAGCTAAACTTAAATTAGCTTTGGATGTCAACATAGACTATTAAAAAGAAACGGATATAATTCATCTAAAGAGCAAAGATAAAAACACTTTTTATCATGAGTGTGACTCACTGGCTCCGTGAGTCATTACCTCAGTCACCAAATCGAGATAATCTTTATCCATTGTGTGTGATACAGGTGTAGGAGCTCTCTTACCAGCAGGTTGTTTGAGGTTGTGGTAAAGAATAATGTCTTCCGGGGATGATAGGTGCTCCGCCACTGGTGCGATGTCCTCGCCCGTCAGTCTGTTTGCACTGAGGATGGCATTGTTACTGACGTCCGTCCAGAAAACTCTCTCCTGGAAACACAACACGACAGAGGTTGAATGATTGAAGGTGAAAGAGAAAAAGGCCCACATTTGTTTCGGGATATTTTGGCCACATCCATTTTGTCCGGGACACAGGGAGGCCAGAGGTGTTGCGTCATTGCCCACATCCTGTCTGCCATCTGGAGGTGGATTTATCAGATGGTAAATAATTACCTCAAACACAGTGAGTCCCAGTGGGTGAGCCAGCTTGTGTTCGTCAATGATGAGGGTGTGTCTGCCGCCGCCCTGCACGTCGATACTGGAGAGCGTGTGCAGCTTGGAGTCCACCCAGTAGAGCCGCTGGTTCAACAGGTCTGTGGGGGAAGCAGGCGGAGGGTCGACAGGTCACACCAGAGTGACCACGGACATTCACGTGCATAGATTTTTTTAATAGAAGACTTGAAACCAGAGAAGCGTGAACGCTGGAGTTTACCCAGTGTGATGCCGTTGGGCCACTCGATGTTGTCAGTGACCAGAGCGGTGCGGTCTCCTCCATTGAGACCCCCCTTTTCAATCTTAGCCGGAGTTCCCCAGTCCGTCCAGTAGACGAAGCTGAGAGGCGTAAAAATGATCCGACACGATGAGTCTTTGGTTTGTGAGCACGTAAAGAAAATGTCTGTTTGTTAATGTTTGTCAGACTCACTTGCTGTGGGGGTCAACCACTATAGCCCGGGGCTTCGACAAGCCTCGACTGAACAGAGTTTTGCGACGGCTGCCGTCCGCGGTCACCACGGAGACGGTGCTGCGGATGCTGTCAGTCCAGTACAGGTTACCATGGATCCAGTCAAAGGCGATGCCTTCAGGAGCATCGATGCCGCTGCCGATGACCGTGCTGTGACGAGTGGAGTCTTCGGCCACGTCCATCTGGGCTCTGGTGAAAGTGACGACCAGCGTCAGACAGGAGCAACAGACGCAGGCTCTGATTTCAATTCTGATAGTCGTTTTTTTTAACTCACCGGTAGATTTTCTTCTGGGAGATGTCCGACCAGTAGATCTCTTTGGTGGCGATGTTCATGTCCAGAGCGACGACATTCTTGAGACGGGGGATCACTCTGGCGTACTCACTTTTGTCCAGGGTCATCTTCCTGACCTCATGGCGGTTGGTAAAGAAAAGGTAGGCTATCGTTCCTACAAAATAAGAGTAGATGGGTCCGTTAATACCACTAACAAAACTCTTCCAGAGTCTAATTCTGGATCTGATTTATCCGTTTCTACAAAGAAAGATGTGAAATTTTACAAAATGCACAACAGCTACTATGAGATTTCGGCCTGAAGACAAAGTGACAAGTCTCACTGGGACATAAGAGGGAGTTAAAGTGAAGATACAATAACATTGGACGAGGCTACACAACAACAAACTAGAAAGAACACTGTGAGCTCATATTTACCGATGGCCTTGCAGGCTTTGGTCGCTGGGTCGACTTGGTAACCCTCCTCGCAGTCGCATTTGTAACTGCCGATCTGGTTGATGCAGATCTGGCTGCAGGTGTCCGGGTTGGCACACTCATCAATATCTGATCCAACGAGGAGAAACAATGTGACATTTAGAAAAATGACTGCGCACACGGATATCTGACTGTTTCCGATGGTAACTGGATCGGAGGCCGTTACCTTCGCAGCGTTTTTGGTCCACCAGGCTGAATCCAGCAGGACACCGGCACTCGTAGCCAATTTTCAGGTCTTTGCAGATATGAGAGCAGCCGCCGTTGTTGAACAGGCACTCGTTAAAGCCTGCGGAGGGAAGAAGAAGAAAAGGTTTTTTTTTTCTCAGGATGTGTCATTCTTGAGCTGCACCCTCATTAAAAACACAGAGGTAGTGATTAACAGCAATGAACGAGGCGCCTCTGTACTCACCACATTCCCTCAGAGGCTCATCTGACCAATCCCTGCAATCACGGTTCTTGTCGCACACCTTCGATACGAGGATACACTCCCCGCTGCGGCACTTGAACCTGGTTGGGCCGTCACACTGGGTCGCTGTGCGGGAAGCATGAAAATGGAATATATGGGATCACCGATCACAGACACAGGCTTGAGATTTGACGTAGGAAAGTTGATACTAACCATTGACACAGCCGGTTTCATCGCTCCGGTCCCGGCAGTCGTATTGATGGTTGCACTGACGGCTCCCATGGATGCAAGTTCCATCACCGCATTCGAACTCATCAGGACGACAGGTCGGACGATCTGGAGGAAACCAAGGGGCAGAAACTAAGGATCGAAACCAATGACAGTGTGTGAACGACAGGCACAGAATGTTGTAACCGTACTCACCACAGTTGGCTTCATCCGATCGATCGAGGCAGTCGGCCCCTCCGTCACACTTCCAGCTGCCGTGGATGCACTCGCCACTGCCGCAGTGGAACTCCAGGGAGGTGCACTGATGAGCGCCAGGGGAGGCGGGACGATTCGTGCCGCAGTTCTGCGGCCACTCGTCTGAGCCGTCGGGGCAGTCGACGTCGCCGTCGCAGGCCCAAAGGCGTGGCAAGCAAATGCTGTTGTTGCACTGGAAGGCCGTGGCGCTGCAGGTGGTGGGTGGACAGGAGGCCTCGTCGCTGCCGTCGTCGCAGTCCGCCTCGTCGTCACACACGAAGGAGGAAGACACACACTGGCCGCTCCTGCACCGGAACTCGGTGTTTGTGCACCGCTTTGGGGCTGAGGAGGTAAATGTGACAGATCAGAGGAAAGAACGACCTGGAAAACTTTAGAGCAGCAGAAGAAGAAGAAGAAGAAGAAGAAGAAGAAGCAGCAGCAAATGGTGAGTTAGTGGCGTTGACCCTCTGAGGTCGGTAAACTCACCACAGCTCTCCTCATCGGCTCCATTCTCACAGTCAGCTTTTCCATCGCAGCGCCAGGTGCTGGGTATACACTGGTTCAGACGGT